TAGAATCCTATACCAGTAAATTCCTGAACAAATCTCCGGAAAAAAAAGTTTCTCCAAAATGACTAAAAATGCACTCATTTGCCTTAAAATACTTAGCTATGTCCATTTTTGTTGTTAAAATTCAGAAAAAAGTGGAGATTTGTGAACAACAGTATGGTTTCATACCACAGATGCAATGTTTGCCTTGAGGATGCTGATGGAGAAGTACAGAGAAGGTCAGAAGGAGCTACATTGTGTATTTGTAGATTTAGAAAAGGCAGATGACAAAGTGCCAAGGGAGGAATTGTAGTTTTCTATGAGGAAGTCAGGAGTGGCAGAGAAGTATGTTAGTTTGGTGCAGGACATGTATGAGAATAGGACTCTCAACTGCTGTTAATCAAACTACTGCCTATCGTTGACGGAGAGGTGAAGAGTTTTGTCAAAATAAAAGTCTTTAAATAATCTTTAATTAAATAAAGGAAACAGGAACCAAATAGGAGACAGTCTTTCAAAATAAAAGAAAGTTACATTCACTGTGTGTCTGTGTGTGTGTGTCTCTGTGTGTGCGTGTTGTCCACACCTGAGTCCGTGTTGTCCACACCTGAGTCCTTCATCACTGGACCTGTCATCACCAACTGCAGCAAACTGGAGATCGACAAGAAAAAGACGGGTTTGTCAGTGGAGATGGAACAGCCTTGGTTGGATTTACTTTATATTTTAAAAAAATTCATTTAAGTCAACATGAAAAAATGAAAGTGACAGTTTTTGCCCATTCCAAATACAGTATTTTGTTTTTGCTATTTGTGTATTTTTGTCATTTGCAACAATGAGAAAATCTTTATTCATGACTGTTACATTAAATTAAATTAAAAATAAATTAAATTAAATTAAAAAATACAATGAAAATCAAATAAAGTAATGGATGATAAAGGTGGAAATGTAGAAATGTTTTCTGTGTGTTTTGTCTTTCCCACAGCACTGAGGCCACGTCAGCTGCAGCTGCTGTTAATTCGCTCCATAAATAATCTTTGACTTGACTTGTGTTCTAATTAAAAAAACACACACACGTGTGTGTGTGTGTGTGTGTGTGTCAGATGAATTACTCGGCCGGCCTTTTCTTCCTGTGTACATTAGACAAAAATCCAAGGGTAATAAGATATTTATTGTGCGTTAAAGATGATGAAACACCTACGTGTTGTGGGGCAGGCGGCGGCAGACGGCCCTCAGCTCCTCTGTGGAGACATTACGACACACAGAGTTATCGCTCATCCAACTCCAGGCTGGAGAACAAAGTCAGGCCTGTGTTCCTGGACTCTGTCACGTGACGCTCACCTCGGCAGCACAGCAGGACGCGGCAGACCCTGGCCAGCTGCAGGCCCTGAGCCAGCCTCTCCAGACTCAGGCCGCAGTCTGGAGAGGCCACATTTTCAGCCCGCTGCAGCAGTTTGGAAAGGTCAGAGGTCAACGCCGCCATGGATCCCAACTGGATCAGAGGAACGTGACCCAGAACCCCCTTCTCCGCCAGGATGTTTGGCAGCAGCTGGATGATCTGAGAGGAGACGGAGACGGAGGTAGAGTCGGAAGAGTTGGTTTGGTTTTTTTTTTACACTCTGTTTTTTTACTTTACATTTATTTAGAGCTGATGAAACACACACACACACACACACACACCTCTAAGCAGCTCAAATGTAGAGCTGAGAAGAGCAGATCGGTGTTGCCCTCATTTTCCCCGTCGCCCGCCGTCGACCTGTAGACCAGCGGCGCTTTCACGCACCAACACATCAGCCCCTCTAACGGTGTGACATGCAGCGTGCTGATTGGCTGACTGCTGGACAGTGGCGTGCTCCGGAGCGTGAGAAGGACCAGACCGGGGTCGTCTCGGATCCAGGACACGAACATGTGGACGAGTTCTAACGGGGGGGTGAGCTCCTCTACAAACAAACACACGAAGATTTGATTTTAGGGAAAAAGTCTGTGGTTCTGGTTCTGGTGAAGGAACTGTTTGTTTGTCGTGGTTTTTTGTTGTCGTACCAGAGGAGAGGTCGTAGCGAGCGGCGACCACGGTGATGAACTGGCAGCAGAATCGCCGACTGGCACGTCTGATGTTCTGGAGGACGGAGACCAGACCTGGGACGTAGTCGTCCAGCAGGACCTGTCCGAGCTGGAGGTGGAACTCACGGTCCATCCCCTACAGGAGACAAACTCAGGGTCAGACTTTGGTCGGTTCAAGATTCCAAACTACCGCCGTCAATTCTCACCTGCAACCAGGTGGCGGCGCATTCTGAGACGGCGGTCCTGTCCAGAACAAGAGACAGGGAGACCAACTTTCCAAACAGAGACCTCCGTCTCGTCTCCGCCTGCTGGTCTTTGACGTCGACGTTGAAGAGCGTGGAGAAGATGAGCTGACGCGTGGCGTCGTCTCTGTCCTGATGAAAGAAGCGGCGCATGCTCTCAACCAG